TCTTTCCTTTTGGAAAGGAAAACTGCATCCCAGCTCACTGACTGAACACTCCCCAGCCAGTCTAGTCTCACTCAGTGCTGCAATATCAATATTAGAATGAGCAGGCCCTCTGGAGAGCCTTTTTCCCCCTCAGACCTTCACACATCCCCTCCATCTAGCAGGGTAAGGACATGGATTGCCATAGGTCGATCAGCCAGACACCATAGTCTGGCCAGATATTATGGGACAGGCAATGCTTAGGGCACCTTTCCTAGCCTCTTCTCTTAAAAAGGACTGTTCAGTTACCTATGATGCAGCGGACAAAGTGGGCTCCAGCCCAGGAAAGCTTACGCCAAGGTGGATTTAAAGACTTTTTTTAAATTAAAAAAAAAAAAAATCAGAATTTTTTATTTAGAACAGATTTTTTTTAAAAATCACCAACAGTAAATTTTTCATTTCAAAACAACAGCTACAATTAAATCTCATCACAAACATGTGACACCTACATTCCTAAAAAATGAATGAATGGCTCTAGTCTGCCCAGCCTTATAACCAGCTCTTGCTTCTTGAAAGTTCTGGGCTTTCAATTTTTCTGTTTCTCAGCAGATTCAAATGCAATACATGCAAAGAAGGCAAAGGCTGGATTGGACTATTTTTATTCTTTGCTTATGTGCTGGTGGACATGGGCCAAGCACGGCAGAGGTGTTAGTTAATACACTGTCACAGCTTCCTATAGTTTGCCACAACTTTTGCCACAGAAAAACTGCTATGGCTTCAGGGTGTCTCTCACACCCTATCTGGGAATATTTTGAAGAAACTTGTTCCTTAAGTAAAAAAAAGGAAAATATGTCAAGTGTAAACAAGGAAAGAAGATGATGCAGGGCCTAGCTGCAAGAATGAAACATCGTAAGGAAAATTGCTTATTGGGAGAAAATGAAGTGGACAAAGGTGTGGATATGGCCAAGTGAATCAACTGGTTAGTAACTTAAATAATTTGCTCTGTAATGTGTCATTCTTCAAGACTCTCTCTATGCCTTTTAGGACAAATACATTCTCAAGCTGTTTGCTATATTAGATGTTGCTAGAAAAAAAAGTTCATCTTAGCTAATCCTTATGGCTTGATTAATTGTTAACTAGGTTTAGAATCTATTACTCAAATATACAATATAGGAAGCTGAAGTAAGAGAAATTTGGAGTTTCCAGTTGCCACTTAAGTGTCATTTTCTTATTTTATCTATACATTTTAGAAATGGGCATCTGTCAGAGTCTGTTGTTCAAGAACTCCTCCTAAACAGTAAAAGCTAGGACCGTCAAATTTGATGGGAGCGCCTTCTTATCACAACTTAAAGCAGGCTTTGGTTGTGCCAGGACAACGGGATGTATTGTCTCTCATAAAATGGAAAGGGAGGAGTCTGATAGAAGAGACAGTTATAGTCCAGAATAACTGGCGAGGGGCCAGAGAGAGGGCCCAGGACAGCTATAACCCCACTGGGCCAGCAGGGGGCAGAGGTGGAGAAAGGGACAGCTATTTATTATATACTTCAGGGAGTTTGTTTGGGTGTGTGTCTCTGTCCCCGAGTTGAGGGACATGCATCCATGCCCCACTATGCCCAATGTCACTGCAGTGGCCATGGGCAGGCCCATCTTACCTGGCCCCAAGTTGCTGCAGTGAGAGCTGGCTGAGGTTGTCCTCTCTCCCTGGGGAAGCCTGCATACTGACACTCATCTCCAGCCCCAACCCAGAACAATGATTTAAATGAAGGGGAAAAAAAAGGTTGCGATAAGGACCTGAGCAATGCCAGGTAAATCTTCTAGTATTATATAACACATGCCCCTTATTTTGGAACACATGAACCACAGAACATAATGGGGATGCCATAAGTCTATTTCCTATTTTACTTCAGCATAACTCAGTTTTCCCAAGGGAATCCAAATCTCTTTGTTTTCTCAAAAAACAGTGAGTTCTACGGGGCTTACTCCAAAATTAAGTGCACTCTAAGCATAGTCTTAGCTTTTTTGTTAACTTGATTTTAAATCGGGATTTAAATTGCCTTGATTTTAAATCAACCCACTGTGGCTTATGCCCAAATACATTTGTTAGTCTTTAAGGTGCCACAGGACTCCTTGTTTTTGCTGAAACAGACTAAGACGGTTACCTCCCTGAAATACATATATACATATTTTTACCAACCTACGACTTATGAAAACAAGACAGTCTGCTGAAAAACACGTCCCCGCCCCGGGGAGAGGATAAGAGAGCATATGACAGATGCACCACAGGCAGCTATTTGCATACTCCAATGATAAGCGCAGTATAAGAACCAATTGAGACTAGACTGGTGAGAACCCTGGAAGACTACTTACGCATTACTTCCATGACACGGTGACGGAGGAAGGTGCGACTGCTTTGAAGGGCACCAAAGCGCTTCAGGTCCAGGGGCCAAACATTTTCTGATGGGCAGCCATTCACCATCCACTCAGCCAGGTACCTGATTGGAGGCAGAAACCAAGGAGGATTTGGGTGTAGATCTGAAGCATGATGAGCAAAAGTCTAACTCTGAAGTCAAGAAGTGATGGCAATTTGGGCACTAACATTTTTTGCAATAGGGAGCATCTCTGAGTAACAAGACCGCAATAATACAGACAGCACTGAGAGATTCCAATCTAAAACAAAGTCAGACTCCAGATAATGGAATGATTCACTTCCCACTATAGTGAAATTTACAACACAGAGCAATGGAAGCCAAGGATACTCTTCAAGTGAACCCACAGACATCAGATTGCTAGCATGGCTGGCCTTATGTTAGGGAGCATCTCTGAGTAACAAGACCGCAATAATACAGACAGCACTGAGAGATTCCAATCTAAAACAAAGTCAGACTCCAGATAATGGAATGATTCACTTCCCACTATAGTGAAATTTACAACACAGAGCAATGGAAGCCAAGGATACTCTTCAAGTGAACCCACAGACATCAGATTGCTAGCATGGCTGGCCTTATGTTAATCCCGTGGTCCCCAACACGGTGCCCGTGGGTGCCATGGCGCCCACGGGGGCATTCGTGTGCGCCCGCCACGTGCTCGGGGCTGGCCTGGCCCTGGGCACGTGGCGCATGCACAGTGCCGGAGCCGACTCCAGGCGCATGGTGAGCGCCGGCCCTGGGCTCTTGGGGG